TTCATCTAAGAATTTTTAGTTGCATCAAAACGTTAACTCACCATCTACATAATCATTTGTATTTTGAGTGAATATATATATGTGTATAATGAAACTTACACTGGCTTCCCTAGCGGTGACGTACAGATACTATTAATGTAGCAGAAGAATATGAAAAAATGTATGATCACATGAGGATGTACTCTCGTGACCTTACTCTATGAATAAATACCCTGCCAGAAGCTTCAGAGTGGGTGTGTCACTCGATATTGTTTGAATAATGTAATTACTATAGAATTGTTTAGAATTAGTTTTTTCTTTCTGGTTCTTTGTCCTGATTCTATTATTATTATTGATTTATTAATATTTATGATAAATTGTTTATTGTTGTAAAGTCTTGGCCAGGCACTTGTTTATTGACTATGTTTTGGTAAGTGTTGAATTTATTTCTAAGTGTTGTTATTCTTAACAGGCTCGGCATGGCCAGGTGGTTAAGGAGCTCGACTCGCAATCTGCGAGTCGCGGGTTCGAATCTACGTTCCACCAAACATGCTCGCCCTGTCAGCCGTGGGGGCGTTATAATGTGACGGTCAATCCCACTATTCGTTGGTAAAAGAGTAGCCCAAGAGTTGGCGGTGGGTGGTGATGAATAGCTGCCTTCCCTCTAGTCTTACACTGCTAAATTAGAGATGGCTAGCGCAGATAGCCCTCGTGTAGCTTTGCGCGAAATTCAACAAACAAACAAACATATTCTTAATAAATTGTGCCCCACAGTGGCACAGCGGTATGTCTGCGGACTTACAACGCTAGAAACCGGGTTTCGATACCCGTGGTGGGCAGAGCACAAATAGCCCTTTGTGTAGCTTTGTGCTTAACTACAAACAAACTTAAATTGTTTTGTTGTTACCGTTATAACAGTTGGAACGTGAATACCGTTGTACGTGATTTTAAAGTTACTATTGTCCTTACACACACACACACACGTGAAACAATCAATCACCAAGCTTTGCTTGAACACTTGGAAATTTATGAGGAAGACAAATTCGTTAAAACGGAGAGTTGAACAGAAACTTTGATTTTCTATCATGAAATCGTGTAAATGTTCTAAATCTTTCTGACTTTTAACTACCCTCTCTAGCACTAGTAACAGGAAATATCACTTAGGATTGGATGGGCTCAGTACCCGAATAAATTTTAGCACTTAAAAAAAGTGATACAAATAAAAAAACGTAATAAATATCTGAAGTTGGAAATATTTTAAATATAATATTAAAACTCTCTTTGTAACATTTGACGTTTAATAACGTTTAATTTTCCTTAAATCATAGTATAGTTAGTAAACTTTAGTAACAAAGACAAGGCACATATAAGTTAACTATATAGAAGAAAGCACTGTGAGAGAATTTTATTTTTGGATGCACATCTGTATGTTTATTTCGGTATGAAAGGACACTTGTACAGGTGTTTGCGATAAGATAAAAACTTGCGAAAGTCTGAATCGAACACATCTGGCGAAGCAGAGAATCAAAGATTTAGTTGTTTTTTTTTGTGTTGTTTCTCTCCTGAAAATGGAACAGTTAAAACGTGAAATACAGGTGAAAGGACACGTATTATGTGTTAATTTTACGTGTACTATTTCGTCTGTGTTCATAAACATACAAATTGGTTGAAATCGTTATATGCTGTAAAATTCCTTTAGACTTAATATTAATTGTGATATTTAGCATGTTAACATGACTTATATTTATTCACAGTACCTGTAGACAGAATGTATTCAGGTGTATCGTGGGATCGCGAAACTGTCGATGTAAATCTAATCTGCTTTGGAGTTGTTAATATGATGCTCTTGTGTTGTATCGCTACGAAAGTTTTGGAAAATGTAAAATACTATCTCCTTTTCTTAAAGCATCTACAAAATTCAGAAAAACAAACAAACAATGGATCAACATGTATTAGTACAAATCACCAAAACTTTAGGTTGGTAATATTACGCACGAAAAGACAATGAAGTTACACGTTATTTTTACCCTGAACGCTCAAGTGGCCTTTAAAGACAGTAAGAGTTGTTTTTTTAATCCCTTTTATTACCCCACTTATTCTGCATGATACTGTCATGAGTATTTTAACTATTTTGCAAAACGGCAAAACGGCATTGCTGAAAAAAAAACGTAGTTCTTTAACCTATACCATTTTGACCGGTGTTACTTAAGAGTACTCCTTTACAATATCTATTCAGGTACTCGCCATGTTTAATTTCTCAGGTTGATCAGAGAAGATAACCATATTCATAGTTTTAACTGTCTCTTGTATAGTTTGCGTGCACGAAAATGATGAGACTCTCATCCAACATTTTCCATTAGAAATTAAAGTGTTTGTTTGTATATACAATGAGCTATCTTTGGTTTGCCCACCGTGGGTACCGAAACCAGTTTTTAGTGTTACAAGCCTCCACACTTACTGCCGACTCACTAGGGTGGGGGTTGAGGCTTAATTACGGTGTGAGACGAATTTAGACATGCGTAAATTATTTCGGTAAACATAGTCCGTTAAATTTGTTTGTAATTAAGCACAAAGCCGCACAATGGACTATCTGTGCTCTGCCCACCACGGGTATCGAAACCCGAATTCTAGCGTTGTAAGTCCGCAGACATATCGCTGTGCCACTGGGGGAGGGGGCAGTCCGTTAAGAGAAACTCTTGGAAGACTATGCATGTAGGAACAAACTATTGGGAACATCACCTTGTAGCAAGACGAGATCACATGTATCGTTACGTAAATAGGCTTCTACCAGATACTTTCACTAACGACAGAATCACAAATACCTACATTCAGGTAGAAAAACTCGATGTGCCGCCAAATCCTACTTCTCGTCCACACTCCATGTCAGTCCAGATCTTTTTCCCCGTCCAAATTTTATCTTTGTTCTTCTTAATTTTAAAGACAGTGATTTTATTTGTTTTAGAATTTTCGCGGAAAATTATACAAAGACAACCTGCGCATATTTCACTTTAATTCTCACTCATTGACTATTCTCCTTTGACTCTCGGATTTACAGTCCAGACACGTTACTACTGAGATACACCTGGCTCAAAGATAATAGAATAAAAATGATTTGATGCATCGCCTTGGCCGATTTATCCAAAAAAAAAAAAAAAGACTAAGAAATATGATATACTTCATTATAACTGTTGTACACCTATGTCATTTTTTTAGAACAGATTCTCATATATGTTAAACGCATGCGCGTTACGACTTCAGCGGGATGGAATATTGCATAAGCTATTAGAATATCCCACAGAAGTTGGAGGATCTGAAGACGGCTATTAAAAATGAAATTTCGAAAAATAGATGAACACTGGCTAAAATAGGTTATGCAGCACTAGTTTCATTTGGGGATAAGTTTATTGTTCTGATGGAGGAGGATGGAAAATATGTACAATGAATATCTTTCTTTGAAACACTATGTACCATTTCCAGACTTTCCTGAATAAAAATTATGATTCTTACTGTGTCATCATAATAATAATGATATATATATATCTTCCTTCTTCGTTTTATGATAATAAAACTAGACCTCATTTAAAAGGAACTATGGAATCCCAAGAACCTCTTCGAAGATTTAAAGTATAAAAATGTTAATAATTAAAGAAAGGATTTTAGGCTATCTCAGAATTTATAATTCCAAATCTATTTTTCAATTGTCACAAGGTTCGTCAATAACACTTTTATTTCTTTTCAAAAATCACCAGTTAAGTTATTTATTCTCTGTGCATTTATTTTCAATTTCATAATAGATTATCTGAGAGAAATGTGATAAAAGCATTGTTAGGTATCTGCTTGTTTGTTGGTTTCCGGTAGAAATTCTTTCCAAGGATCTTCAGCGATACAAGTCTTTTTTTAAATAAAACTAGTTTATTCTTTCTCAATACAACTTTTCAATACACAGAATTTCCACAATCAGTACGTTTCTCGTCACTTTAAACTTAACAACTTTTATAACACACACTATAAATCACAGCGATTCACAATTTCGATAACTTCGCTCTCGACGAGTGCAAAACACACACACTTTACGGCCCACTAGCTCGAAACTAACAGAATCATAAATTACACGGAACTCAAAGTAACTATTGCTCTCTCTTCATTCATTTATCTCTGCTGGCTTTACCTGCCAGGCTTATATACTAACGAAGAGGGCATCTCGAACACACACTCGGACTTCCCCGATCATTCGAGAAACTCATCACGCACACCTGCAGCGTCACGTGACTTCCATCCCTAATTTAAAGCTACTGACTAAAGGGAAAGCAGCCGTCCAACAGTACTCGTCGCTGCAAAGGATCTGTTCGGTTCTTCGAACCGAATGGGGACTGACTTTCACATTTATAACGAGCTCAAGCTGAAAGTTCGGGATGTGTTCATCGCTTCTTGAACTTTGACTCTTACGATACGCAGCACAACATGGTGACCCGAAATACATCTTAGGCCTCTAAAATAACTTAATTCATATCATTATCACAGCCTAAAAATTATTTGCAAACTTTTCAGTTCTTTCTACTTTAATGTTTAACTGCTATGCGCAATATGCTTGTGTAATGTTACTTTATAAGTAACTGAAAATTTTTAAAACTGATTTTACAACATTTTTCAGCAATAATGCTGTGAACTTTTTAACGTGATTAATTAACGACGTTTTGCTTATTTTTCAATGTAAATAAAAGAGATTTTGCAATAAAAATATTGAATAGTTTCCATTACTTCACATTATCCCTTTTTTTCAGAGAATATCCAGCAAAATATAGCATATTATTTAGATAACTCTGAATATTAAAGCCATAAAAAAATCTATATTTTAACTACACCTGCTGAATCAAGTATATTATTACAATAATCGACTACGTGTGCAAACTACGTAGTACAGAAAAAAACACAATTTAAAACGGGTTCTAGGAATAGCTCACACATGTAAAAATCAGGTGCGCGGACTGTTCTTCAATTCACCTACCTTTCGTCATATATATAAGAAACAACTTGAAACTGCCTGACAGTGGAAGCACACATGAACACATCTATTTTCCAGTATCACCATGCAGTCTTTAAGTCAGAGGTAAATTCCATTTTATTTTTAACCTTAGACAATCGTATAGACACTTGCCCTTAAAAAGTTAGCAAAATTTAGGCCTAAAAGTAAGTATCTATAATACGCAAAGCCGCGCAGATTAAACTCAAACCTACGCTGTCACCTCCACTTCCAGACATTTTGATTCGACGTTTGTAATTTTCACCAAATCACATATTCCATTTGTATATATACATATTAAATAGATAAATAGCTTACAAACTATTGATTACATTAGTTGTTTATAGGCGATTAAATCAGCAATATAAAATAATAATGAATTATATATCGCAGTACCGTTATCGGTCTTGGTTGTCAACTTATTGTCATAACGGATAAAGTCTGTGCTAACAGCACCCAAATGCGTTGGGGATATCCTATCTATTAGACAAAACTCAAACGCTTATGTCAATCAAGGCAGCCGTCATGGAAAATGATAAAAAATATAATCATCAATCAAATAAGTGTACGAAGCTGAGTGCTTACACCCACAACGTCTCAGTTTCTACAGCCTTTCACAGTCTATAGCCAGTTGTGGGAAGGCAGTTACCCTTAAATTTCTTAAACGTAGAAATGAATTGAAATGAAGCCACCCTAATATGTCTACTAATTAATTACCAACCTCCACCCTTACAAAAAGATATTAAATAGAACTATAAAATACTTAACAGAACTATAAAATATTGAATAGAACTACAAATAGTATAAGATATTAAATAGAACTATACACCCTACCTTAAAAGTTATTATATAGTTCTAACTCCAAACCTCCTCCCTTTCTCCTGAAGATATATTCAAGTATAACAGGGGAACGTCGAGACAAGCCCAGTTAGTCGAAGCTAGTCTTTCCCTCCCGGTTATACTGAATAAAATTACTAGAAAAATTAGTATTAGCTACTAATAAGCAAAAATAACTAACTC